TCTCCTCACCTCAAAACATTGCTTGTTATAATATGAAGTGACTTCTTCCTTTTATTGCATGCAAACTTAAAACACTTTTAACCAAAATACATATGCACACCAGTACACAAAAAGAAATAAATTGTATGATTTTAATTTACAATATAACATGCTTTTAGTATTATTTCTGTGTATGTTTTTATTCTGATGAACATGAAGCAAATGACCACAAATCATTTGGTGAACATCGACATGTATAAAAAACATCCTATTTCCTACAGTCTTAAAAACATATATTTAACATTTATATTGGTCATTGACTTTTATTCAAACTCAGTAGCTCTCTACTTTGTATGGCCCTTGGCCCTTGCATTAGGTGAACCAAATTTAAAAAAAAAAAAAGAAGGTCCGTTCAAATATAAAAGTTGTCTCTCTTTGACATTCTGACAGTTCTTCTGAAAGACTCAAAAATATTTATTTCTAGAATCTATCTTACACGTTTATAAGTGTACCATTCATTCAGCTACTGAATATTGCTGCCATATTTGGTCTGGTGCTTCTTCAATGTATTTAGAGATTCTTGATAAAGTACAAAGAAGAAAAAGAATTACCCACCCCAGACATGTAAGACGATTAAGGCAGTTTATCCAAAACATCCAGGACCAATTTATCTGACAGTGCACAGATCTTAGGTTCAGCAGGTCAAAAATTGGAAAACCATATAATTCTGCTTATTCCTTAGTTAGCACATATGCACTGCCAATACCTAATAAATAATAGACTATTCTGCCTAGAATGTGAGAAAGGTTAGAACATATATCTTTGGAGACACTGTTTGGTCTTAGCATAAAGATATTACTGCTAAATTAACTTTTGAAAGAAAAACAATCTTTGAATTCAAGCAACTTTAACAGTAACCTTATGTGGATTTTGAGCCCAGTATTGAGTAAAGTTTAGTATAAAATCGTTCGGACATAAACAGATTCACTTGTGAAAGAAAAACAATTATTGAATTCAAGCAACTTTAACAGTAAGCTTAAGTGGATTTGAGCCCAGCACTTGTGAAAGAAAAACAATTTTTGAATTTAAGCAAATAATATATTTTTTTTTTTTTTAGCCTATTTTAAGTTTTTGTCTTAAAAAAAAAAAGTATATTTACTGTTTATATTAGTCATTGTCTTTTATGCAATCTTTTTGCCTCTGGAGAAACAAATTAATATTAAGTAAATTAGAAACAATTTCTGCTCAATTTAACTTAATTATTTGTTTTAATAAACCTCTCTACATAAATGTTTGTTTTAATGCACTTATATATTTCTGTATACATGTAACAGTTTATATGTGTAATATTTTGAGGTTATGGTTGGTTAATTGAATGATATAGCAATCCTTCTTGGTTACTTTAATGTTAAATTTAAGTATTTTAGAATGGTAAATATAGGTTTGCTTTGAATTAAAATCAAAAAGGTAGAAACAAGTTTGGTTTCTACTCGGGTCTGTTTTGTATGAGAATGAAAAAGATCAGCAACTATCCAGTTTGCACAAGTGTCAAAAAGTTAGACATTGGTCAAGTTCATGTCTTGGTTTGTAAGTATCAACTCAAAATGTAGCCCCCTTTTGTGAGGTAGTGTCTTCAAATCAAAGTCACTCCCTAAGTAGAATGTCAAATAGATGCTCCATGTGACCATAAAGTAATGATTTTCTGTGATAATTGTAGTAGAAACGTATGTAAAGATTGCAGTAATGTGAACAAAAGCAGTTGAAAATTGATTGATCAGAAAAATGTTCTAGTTTTATTCAACAAGATTTCTTTTCTTTCAGATTCAAAGAGGAAAAGAAGGCCTCAAAATATGTTTTTTTTTAAGCATTCAACCCCAAGCAAGGCAGGAAGCCACTAGCATGCAAGGGGTTACATAGATAGAGCCAGAACAAAGAGGAGTGATAGAGGAAAGGATGAAGAGACGGTTAGGGGATAGATCAGGGCATCTGGAGACGTCAATTGATGTTACATTATAATAGTTGGAGATTATAGCTATCAGGAAAACAAGAATGCGGAGGGAGTTCCACAGGCGAGAAGTGCAAGACATGAAGCTATTGGAGTAGAAGAGATGGTTACATTTTACAGTTTCGACGATGAAAGGGTGAGAGCGAGATGCCAGCCTAGTTGAGCGCTTAAATTCATGAAGTCTGTCTGAGGAAAGATCCAAGGCAGGGAATTAAAAAAAAATTGTCTTGTTGTTGTGGTACCAATCCTTGTAGGAATGACTACAAATGTTGAGACTGTAACAATTTCAAATCAAAGTCACTCTCTCTGTAGAATATCAAAGATGAGTGATGTGCAACAGATCATGCGACTGTAAAGTAATAATTCTTTTATAATTGTAGTAGAAACACATGCAAAGATCATAGTAGAAAATAGGTTCACCTATCATCCAGTTCACACTCCCCCCTAGTCTGTTGAACAGGAGTAGAGGTTTATCCCTTGTTTCCTGCTTAGGATTTGGTTTCTGATTCCTTCTAAAGTCTGCTTCAGCTCTGTACTTCTAATGCTTGTTTTTTTCTATGCTAATATAATTTGACAGAGTAACTCTCTATCTTGAGTGGCTCGTGGGCCTTGTATTGGGTGAACATTAGTAAAAAAAAAAAAAAAAAAAAAAAAAAAAGTCTTGTTAATTGACTGAAATGTGAACCAAAAGCAGCTGAAGAGAAGTCAGATTGATCAGAAATTATTTAAAAAGATCCTGCTGAAAATAAAATGAAACCTATTTTTGCCAATCTGAATTTTCAAAGCTTGCAAATTCAGTTTTTAATATAAAGCTTTCATTCTGATTATTCAAATTGAAATATTTTTGTTTTTTTATTTTTATTTATCCTATAAAAACCAGAAACAATGCTCAAGACAATATATAAGAAGAAGAACTTAACGATGTATCAATAATATTTTTAATTGGGGTGTTTAAAAATGCTCCTAATAAGTACTAATGTAATAACAATGTCCACCCACAGTACTAACAGAAGGTTAAACAAACCCAATATTTATCCAAGCTGACCTTCAAACCTCAACAGATTATTCTGTGAGAATGAAGCAAATCTCTTTCTTCCAGATTTCTTTTCTTTTACTGGAAGAAAAGTTTACTTTTTTCTCACTTGATGAAGGCTGAAGCAAGCATCTGTTGAGACACACATTTAAGAACCTGTAGACAAAGAAGAGATTGTATTTTTTATTTTAAGCATTTCACCCCAAGTAAGGTGGTAGTGCCACTAGCGTGCAGGGGTTTACAGAGAGTGAAAGTGAGGAAAAAGACTGCATATAGAGCGGATTTAGGAAAGGATAAAAAAAAGAACAGGGATCAAAGCAATAGAAGATGGCAGTTGATATTGCATTTAAATTTTTGGAGATTGTAGTTATCAGGGAAGCAAGTAATAGGAAGGGAGATCCACTGTTGGGAAGTGAGAGAAAAGAAACTGCTGGAATATAAGTCTCAGTTACATTTAACTATTTCAACAGTAAAAGGGTGGGACCTAGATGCCAATCTAGTAGTGCACTTAAATTCAGGTAGTTGGGATATCAGTAAATATAGCTTGTCAAAACAATTGCCATAAAAATATATGTAGAAAAGACAGAGGGAAGCCACATCATGTCTATGAAAAATTGACTATTGGACAATGTTGAGTATACTTTATTGATTTTCCTAATGGTAATATCGGCAGTTTCCTTATAAGGAAACATTCTATATTCATTGGGTAAGGAATCAGTGGTACTGTCAGTAGAAATTTATAAAATTTTTCTTTTAAAAGAATTTTGCCGTTTTCTTAAGTCCTCTGTTATGGCCCTTTCCAGTACTGACACAAGGATTCCTTCCTAACCTTTTGTTTGAAGAAGTGTGGAATGTCAATATTTTTATTATGTCATTATTTTCTCTGGGTTACGTGTGATATCCATTTTAGCTGTAGAAACTTCTCTATATAACTAATGACTTTTTTGAAACAAGAACTTTTAATTAAGCAAAATGTTTCAGTGTTATTTGACAAGATTTTTTTCTTTCAGATTTAACAAAGAATAATTGCGATAAAAGCTGTTTTGCCATTAAAACCGTGTCCTTTTAATCTAATAAGAACAAAAGCAAACACAAAGATAACATTAAAGTGCATCTTTCTAATTCTATTTATGGGCAAATAACACTTTATTTTTTAGAAAAAAACAAATTAAACTGAAAATAATAAAATTGTGATTAAAAAATAAGATAAAGAAAAGAGTAAGAGAAAGCAAAAAAGAAAAAGAAGAGAAAGGAGAAAAGAAAGCAGAAGAGAAAGGAAAAAACAGAGGAAGAAAAGAAGGAAAAAAGGAAAGGAAGAGAAGAAGAAAAAAGAGAAAGAGAAAGAAGTGAAAGAGAAATAAAAAGGAAAGGATAAGAGACAGAGAAAGAAGAGGAAAGAAAAAGAGAAAGAACAGAAGGGGAAAAGGAAAGGAAAAGAAAGAAAGAAAGCAGAGAAAGGAAAAAGAGAAAGAGGAAGAGAATGGAGAAGGAGAAGGAAAAGAGAAAGGAAAAAAATATGAAGAGAAAGAAAGAAGAGAAAGGAAAAGAGAAAGAAGAGAAAGGAAAGGAAAAAGAAGAGAATGGAAAGGAAAAAGAAGAGAATGGAAAAAGAGAAAGAAGAGAATGGAAAGGAGAAAGAAAAAGAAAAAAGAAAAGAAAAGAAGAGGGAAAAGGAAAAGAAAAAAGAGAAGTTCTTGCTTATAGCTGTGGATAAAAAAGAAAAAAAAATCTTGCTTTTTATTTAACACTGAAATAGAACAATACAGAATTGTTAAAATCACCCACTCCTCAATCCAAAAAATAAAATTAAAAAAATTAAAAATAGAAAAGAAAAGAACAGAAAAAGAAAATCAAAAAAATGAAGTCTTACGTTTAAATCTGGACAAAAAATAATTCTTTTCTTAATTTAGTAAATGTCATTTATAATTCTAAATAAAAGGGGTGCTGAAAAGTTATGATCCTGATCAAAAAGCACTACACCAGAAATTTCTTATATTTGGCTATTTCATTTAATTTTGGGAAGTAAATAGGCCAAAAACATTTTCAATGTGTCTTCCCCTTTCTATTTTTCTTTATCTTCTTTCTCTTTTTTCTCCTTTTCTTTCTTTTCCTTTATCTTCTTCTTTATATTATTTTTGTATTGGTGGTCAAGCTGGTGGGCATATATATATATATATTTTTTTAAGCATTTCACCCTAAGCAAGGCAGGAAGCCACTAGGATAAAGAGGTTACAGAAAATAGCAAGATCAGATAAAGTGATAGAAGAAATAATCTAGGGTAATTGATAGATTAAGGCAACTGAAGAAACTGTTTTAATTTGACATTACACTTGAATAGCTGGAGATTATAGCTCACAAAATGGAAACAGGAACCATATTTCAGGGAGTTTCAAAGGCGAGAGTTTGAACATGAAGCTATTAAAATAAGAGATGGCTACATTTAGGAGTTTCAACAGTGAAAATGTGAGATATTATGTAATGCCAATAAATATATGGCGCTGGAACTTTTTAAATCTGGGAACTAGCGAATGCAGCTTTCGGGATTTAATTTCCATGAAAGTATTTTAGAACAGACAGAGGGAGGGATGGTTCAGAATGTGAGAAAAGTGATTGTTTCAAAGACACCTTAATGGGCCAACCATATTGCATATCCGCCTCTGGAGCCTATCAAAGATATATATATATATATATATATATATATATATATATATATATCACCACTAACAGATTTTGATTTGCAGTAGAATTTGTTCATATAAAAGGTATGATTATTCAAATAATTAATATCTATGATAGAAGAAAATAAGAGAAACTTTTTTTTCTCTAAATTTCTGTGATATGGAATTGCTCATATTACCCATTACTTTATTTAGACTAATATCTTCATCTTGATTGATTCTCAAGGATAAGGAATCTCTTTATTATTGGGCCAGAACAAAAGGCTGCAGCAATTTTTTAAAAGTAAATTTCAAAAAATAGTAAATACATGCACAAATGGTAAGAAAAACCGGAAATAAAGATATATCAGAATCTTATCTCTCAGATTTATAAGACAGAATCTGGATAGAAAGATTTTCTAACATGTAAGAGTGAATCAACTTTCCTAGCAACAGACCTAGTAATTCAATATAATCCTTCTATTTTATGTCAGTGGACAACATTAACCCTGGAAGAAATCCAAGCAAAAAGAGGGTTGTGAGAGAGTAATATATTATTATTATTATTGATATTATCATAATACAGCATCTACAATGCAAATGTCTTTGGAAACTTGAAAATTTCTAATAACTGCCAGTCAAAGTATTTTCTATACACTTTTGCTTTAGTAAATGGTTTTCTCTTTTAATTAAAGTAGCATTTTTTTTAATTGAAATTATGGCCAGACACATTATGGTGGGCAACTAATGCATTTAGTACATTACTTTGTAAAAGATCTATTATGTGTTCATTTTATTTAAATTCCTTGAGGTTTCTCCTGTGTATTCCTTGTGGCAATTATAACAGTGATACAGGTGTTGTTATAATACACTATCTACAATGCAGATGTTTTTGGAGACTTGAAAATTTTTCAAATTTCTAATAATTGCCAGTTTCCAAGCAGATGTGTAGATCAAAGATGGAAATAAACACAAAGACAGTCAAACACCAAATAAAAAAATATGGTTTCTGAGTAAGTGGATTTGCGTATCCTATTAATAAATAAATTTATTGAAAATAAAAATATAACATTTTTCAACCAAAGGTGGTGTTCCCACCGACAATACTAAAAAAAACATACTTCATGATCCCTTTGAAGGGTATATAAACAAAATTTCTAGACCAGACAAAGCAGTAAGGAGATGCATACAGTAATATTTTCAAAACACATCGGCTTAAAAGAAATTCCTGTACTCATTCACTTGTCTTCCACACCAAGCTATGTGAAACTTACACTTTCTTTCTCACTTCTTCCCTTTCTCTTCTTTCTCATACATACATGTCAAGAAATTACATTTCTTTTCACTTAACTTACAGCTACAAACAAGGACTGTAAGTACTTTAACATTCATACATTCTAAGAAAAATTTAGTTGTAAAAAACATGAAAATAAAAATATTTTATATTTTTATAATTAAACAAATTTTCTTTGTTGTGCATTAATTCAAATGCAGAAAAGATGTCTGGTATTGTTGCATTTGCAAAGTGAATTATTGACTCTTTGTGAATCATTCATTCTTTCTTTTTATGTGCCATGTCCTTTCAGGCTCTAAGTGATCATGGCTCTCCACCGTTCTCTATCCCCTGCAGCTCCCAACAAGTTCCTTCCATTTGTTTCTCCCCGCCAGACCACGTTCTGTAATCCACTTGCTTAAGTCCACCAGTTATGTCATGCATTATTTTCCCTTGTCTCTCTTTCCCTCTATTCAACTTGTGAGTATCAGATTCTCCAGGCCCTCCTTCCTCATTATGTGTCCCAGAAACTTCAGCTGCCTCTTCCTGATATTAAGTATAAGCCATCTCCTTGTTTGTAACCTCTTTAAGATCTCATTGTTGCATATATGCTTGGTCCATGATATCCTTAGCATCCGTCTGTAGAACCACATCTCTCTTGACTTGAGTCTCTTCTTCATCTTTGAGGAGATTGTCCAATATTCACGGCCATAAAGAAGGACAGATGTTATGTAACAGTTCAGTATTCTTTTCTTTGTCTTTATCACCAAAATATCCTCTGAGTCATTACTAATTTTAATTATCATCTTTTGTAGCAGGTTTTATGAATGTCACATGATAGGGCGTGTGATAAACAATAGTATAATAATTAAATATACAAAAGTTTGGATTGTCTAAAATATTTCCTCTGTGTGTGTGAGTGTGTGTGTAGATAGACAGACAGGAGAGAACAATATGTCACTTAGTTGTCATTCTTGTGAAAAATTTCTCACAGTTAACCTGTACAAAAAGACAATATGTATAAAGGCAAAAGACAGTAGGAAAACTGTATTATTAGCTGACGTTTTTCAAGGCAAAAACGAAATGATATTATTGAAAACAAAGTAAATATTAACAAAAAACAGTATGTCCTTGCCAACTAGAAGAATTTAGAAAATGCTATTGTATTCATATTGTTAACTGAAAATTATGTCAAGTATTGCTGCCATATATGGTCTGGTGCCCCTTCTGTTTGCCTCGGGGTTCTTGGTAGGCTCCAGAGGCGGATATGCAATGTAGTTGGCCCTGATCTGGCATCTCGTCTACAGTCACTTTCTCACATACGTGCCATCGCCTTCATCTGTCTGTTCTACAAATACTTTCATGGCAATTGCTCCGAGGAGCTGCATTTGCTGGTTCCCAGACGTCATGAGTTCAAGCGCCCTACGAGGCTGGCATCCCACTCTCACCCCTTCACTGTCGAAACTCCTAAATGTAGCCGTCTCTTCTACTCCAATAGCTTCAGGTCTCGCACCTCTCGCCTGTGGAACTCCCTTCCCTATTCCAGTTTCCCTGAGAGCTATAATCTCCAGCTATTTAAGTGTAATGTCAATCGATATCTCCAGTTGCCTTGATCTTTCCACTACCCTCCTCCTCATCCTTTCTTCTATCACTCCTATCTGATCTTGCTCTAAATTTTCTGTAACCCCTTGCATCCTAGTGGCTCCCCGCCTTGCTTGGGGTGAAATGCTAAAAAAAAAAAAAAAAAATAAGTATGTGTAGAAATATTGTTTTATTGTTGCTCTGATGGATTCAATCATTTTCTTTTGATTTCTTGACACAGTTGTGAATGTTGGCTTGGGAGTTTTAATTCTGTTAGAAAATTTTATTTCCTTTCTTTCTGGGTCTCTAATGCCTGGGCATAGATTAATATTTGGATAATGTTCAATGATGGCACTCTTGAGGATTTTTCTTTTGAGTGAGTTATTTTACTTTCTTATGAGTGTAGCATTTTTAAAATCAAAATATACATCCATCAAGAGTTGAGGACTTCAAATATCTTGGATCTCACATAATAGATTCCTAAAAAGACTTCAACATCCACAAAGCTCTTGCATAGATGCATGTAACAAAATTCACAAAGATTTGGTGCTTTAACCTTCCATCCTCCTTAAAAGTCAAACCTTTTGAACATTAATTGAACCAGTCTTACAAATCAGAAACTTGACATTATCTGCATTGTCTTGAAAGACAACTGGATGGAACATATACAAATCTACTTTAGAAAAATCCAGAACATCAGTTGGAGATTTCACAACAAATTGACACAATTTATGGAGAACTGAGACCAATTTCTTTAAGCTCAAACAAAATGATTACAGTTTGCCAGCCATTGCCACTGAGCAAACAGGGAAGTCATCTCATCCTTTGGATTATGGCATCCTTCTGGAAGTGTCTTATTGTGAAAATTGAATTTTCCAGACACCATAGTTAAGAACTCAGGGTTGGACATTGGGGATCTGGGACAGCAATGCAGGACTGAACAGTGTGGAAAAGGATTGTCAATTTGAGTTCCGACCAACCATAGGAGGTTTTTAGGATGATGATGATTGCCTGTGAACTAATCTACTATGGAAAACTTTTCTTGTAAATTTCTTATAATTGCCAGGTGATAAATCAGCTTATACACAAATATATAAGGTAATTATTATTGTTGCTGTAATACTACTGCTACTCCTATAGCCTGTTGAAGTCATTTGATAATACATCCATCAAAAGAGATGAGGAT